AGGTGGTATGGTGGTAAGGCCGCTGGATCCCACATGACTGACTTTGAGGTTCAAGTCTCAGCCCTAAAATTTGAAAACCATTCCTGGCACATGTGCCTGTGTGCCCAAAATCCCAAGAGGAGAATGGAGGAGAAGGGATTGCAGTGTGACCATCACCCCTGGAAGGATACTTCTATTTTCACTTTCTCCCTCTCATTTTCTCTCTCTCTGCTTCTCTCCCACAAGCACACTTGCAAATGAAAAAAAAAAAAAAAAAAAAAGAAAAAGAAAGTAGCAAGAAGAGTTGGAGACACTTGACAGAAGAGAGGAAAGAAAAAATAAGACAAGAGACAATAGGTTACAGTTTATTTATTTATTTATTTTTTTGGAGAGGTTTTTGCTATAGGGCACGTGCGCTCGCCAGACAGACAGAGAGAGACAGAGAGACAGAAAGCGAGAAATCACCCCCCCAGGGGGGATGGCCACGCCGCAATCCCTTCTCCTCCATTCTCCTCTCGGGATCCTGGGCACGCACGCACACGTGCCTGGCGTGAGTTTAAGTCACCAGGTCCGGGACGCGAACCGCGGTCGTCTACGTAGGAGTCCAGCGACATAGCCATTACGCTAACTGCTGGTCTCAATAGGTTACAGTTTTGAGACAAGATAATAAGGATATGATCAGCTACTCTGATGAATAAGGCTTTAATGAGAAAGCTAGGCAAAGAAGATTTTAGTAAATCTTACTGTTTTTATGTACTGAATCCTTGTGTTTTCTGTTACATCTTTCCCTCCCTCTCACTCAAAAAAAGAAAAAGAAAAAGAAAAGAAAAAGAAAAATAATGTCTTCACTAAAGGCCGGAGAGTAGGATTTGTGTTTTGTTTGACTGTGTAGTTAGGCTCTAAGAGAGTTTAAGAGGAGATTTAAAAAGCCCAGGTTTATTATTTAAGTTAAATTTACAAACTACATGTATTTATAAATAATCTTGTCATATTTTTAAGGAAATATTAGGTCATTGGAAAAGTCCTGCCGTATTTTTCTATGCAAAAATGCATCATGACTTTTCTAATGACCCAATACTTTCTCCTATTGGCTGTTTGAATTTTTTAAAGGCTTTCACAAAACTTCATAAAAATAATATGCATGCAAATGTTTCCAACTTGCCATAAAAAATTATTTGATTGAAATTCTAAAAAATAGATTTTCTTTTATATTGTTTTATGCTCAGAATTTGCATAGAGATTCTAAGAGGAGGACATGACAACTTATAAAACCTAGACCAAAACACAGTTCTCTCCTCTCTGGAAAGATTTTCTCTTAATCAAATATGTATCATTAAACACATATAAGCAGTGAGTTTTTAGAGAACTTCTCCCTTTCCCCCAAAGAATCAGGCCACTTTGGTCTATGCTGGCAATCAATTGTCACAATCAAAGAGTCTCCTCATATAAATTTTATTATTATGATGCTCGTTGGCATCTAAATAAGTATCCGTAGCTATAAACCTCTGTCTCTTTGTCATTAATTCCACAGGTGTTTGTGTTTATGGTAGTGACTCAATATCATCATCTTTATTTTCTTCCACTTTTTCTATGGTATGAATATTTATTTTCAACACTTAAATAATTATGGCCTGCCTGACTTTTGATATATAGAATAAAATAAGGATCTAGGTTTTTTTTTCCTCCAAATTATCCAAATTTTTCTAAAGTCATCATTGGAAAGTTCATTCCTTCCCTGTCAATATATGATACATAGAAAAAGTTGTGAATTTGGATATTTATTTTAAATCTGGATATAATAATGAATTTTTAATTTTTTTAAAGTTTTTTTTTTAGAGAGAGTATTTTTGGTATAGAGTGCACACACTCACTGAGGGGCAGAGAGAGACAGAGACAGAAAACAAGAAACCACCCCCCCCAAAGGGGAATGGCCATGCTTCAATCCCTTCTCCTCCAATCTTCTCTTAGGATTTTTGGAATGTACACACACACACTTAGCATGAGTTTCAAACCTCCAGGCCCAGGACTCCAACTGTGGTCGGCCATCTTGTTGTCCAGCGACATAACCATTACACCATCTGCTGGTCCCACTTTGAATATTTTTATTAGTTTATTAGTTCATCTGCTGCCTTTTCTAAACAGGAATACATACTCTATATAATAGAAATAAAATATCAGAAAGGAAAGAAAGTCAATTCTGTTTCTTAGATTCTGATTGGAAGATTTTCCAGGAAAATTGTTGTAACGTCTAACTGTGGAGACTCCAGAAGAGGTTCTTTTTAACTCTGAACTGAGACAGGGGTGTCCATTAGGCCCACTGGTATTTCAGACACATTACAAATGTCATTTAATCTTCTCATTAACTTAATGAGGAAGGCATCATTAATACTGATTACATTAAACCTTGATTAAATACATGCCTCATCAATAATTCTGAAGGTTTTAGATGAGGAAACCCAAAAGCAGGGTGGTAAGAACTTGCGCTGAACCAAGTAAGTATTAGGATTTGAACCCAAGTCTGTGATATTCCTGTCTATTCTGTTCACTAGGTCACTTACTTGACCTCCTAGCAAAAGTAAAACATTTCATTTCCAAATAGCTTGAAATATTATAAAATGCTTTTACATATTTCACCTCACACATCCTCAGAATGAACAATCTTTGAGCTAAAGCATCTCAAATACTAAATAACACTAAAACTTGAGGTCCCTTACCTCATGTACATGTACCTCGCTACATTATAATATCTGTCGTTCATTCCCTGAAAAGAGGGAAGGCCGAGCATCCGAAGAGAGGCCATTTAGTATTTGGGAGCCCCCTGCTGCTTGAGTGAGACCTGTGAGGTTCCCTCTTACATGTATTGGGTAATGTTGAAATGGTGTAATTTTGTGAGAGATTTGGTATGAGTTTGGGATTTGGGAGAAACTCAAACTAGAAAGACTAATTGTCCTGTTATGTTAAGAAAGAAGCGTTTTAAGAGAATTTTCAAGTTACTATGTAGATAACATTTCTGTAAGGGAAAAATGATAGACTTTAGACTTTTTTTTTTCCAGATTTTTTGGCATTTTTTTAATTGGAGAAAGACAGAGAGAAAGCAAGGAAGCACCCTCCATGGGGCATGGCCTTTCCTTCATCAGTCCCCCCTCTGGGATTTTGTGCATGCATGCACATGCACCTGGCATGTTTCTCAAGCTGCCAGATCTAGGACTGAACTGTGGGTCAGCCATGTGGAATCCAGCTGCCTTAGGCACACGAGGCCACGGGCTGGCCCATCCCAAAATTTTTGAAACCTGTAATAAACAGCATTTGATATTATATTTTGAAACGCATAAGAGAACCTATACTCTTCATAGGTCACTGAAGGTCTTACCAAGTACAGCTGCCAATCCGTAAGCTGATGTCATTTCTGCTTTTCTTACAAAGGACAGTTATGTCATTTTATAGTTTTTCAATCTTTCTATTTTTTAATTGGTAATGTAGAGTTAAAGTTGGGGTGCTTGTGTTGTTCTGTGTCTAAACTGCTCATCTGAACCTCTCACTGGCCTTTATCCCAGATACTTTCCTCCATGACTAACATCAGGTGAGGGTGGGGCTGTGTCTGCCTTATTCTGAGTTACAACGGCACGGGGAAACTGTCTTTATAGAAACATTTACAATAGGTTCAGTTAGAAAAACTGGGCTCAAGGGTTTTGTTTTGTTTTGTTCTTTGAAAGTAGACTATATTTTTTCACACTAAATAGATTGGAGGGTGTGTGTGTTACCACTTCCAGTGCATAAAATTTTTGAAATAGTGTTGGAGATATTATGAATTATAGGGGCAAGTTTAAATCCTAGACATAAACTTGGGAATCATTTTAGTAATACTTATAGTAATCTAGTTCATTGTCATTTAGGTTCTTTATATGGTGGATCTATATTATGAAATATTATTTAGCCATTGAAAACTATGCATCTAGAGTATACACAATTACTTAGAGAAATATAATAGTCAGTAAAAATGTCCATTCAAATTCAAATGGTTTGACTCAGGTCTCTTTTAGTTGCCGGTAACATTGACCCAGCTCTGATAAAAGAACCTTTATTTTAAGTGTGTTTCACAAGTCTCATGAGAATCAAAGCGTAGGAATCAATGACAGATACACCTCTTAGAAATCAAATCTGGAAAGTTACTGAGCATGAGACTCCTCCCTCGGGCTACTGGACTTCCCTCTGGAGCCCTCTGTCCCTGCGGGGGTTCTCTCTCTGCCATGACAACCACTTTCTTAAACATAGTCTTTGCTGCCTCATCACTTCAGCAAAATGCTTTTCTTAACTTTTATTACATTGTGCATTTGCTGATCTCAACTTCTTTACTAACCAGCTTCATCTCTCAGACTCCCAACTCCAGATTCCTAAACCGATGGCATCAGTTCAACTTTTTAAGTCAGGTTACATGCAACTCCGGGTTCCTTTGTTGGGTTAAGAATGGACTTCCAGAGCCAGCAGGTGGTGTAGTGATTTAGATGCTAGATTCCCACCTGTTGACAACAGTTCGAGTCCTGGACCTGGTGGCTTAAAAAGCATGCTGGTGGGACCAGCAGATGGCATAATGGTTACGTCACTGGACTCCCACATAGTCGACTGCAGTTTGAGTCCCAGACCCAGCAGCTTAAAACTAACACTAGGCACGTGTGTGTGCATGCCCAGAATCCCAAGAGGAGAATGGAGGAGAAGGAATTAAAGCATGACAGTTCTCCCTGGGGGGTGATTTCTCACTTTCCATTTCTCTCTCTCTGGTGAGCGCACACACCCTATAGCAAAAATCTCTCAAAACAAAATAAAACACGTGCTGGGCACGTGTGCATGCATACCTGAAATCCCAAGAGGAGAATGGAAAAGGGATTGTGTGGTATGTTCATCCTCCCCAGGGGATGATTTCTCACTTCTTTCCCTCTCACTGTCTTTCTGTCTATCTCTGATGACCAAATACACCCTTTAGAAAAATACTAAAAAAAAAAAAAAAAAAAAAAAGAATGGACTTCCTTGAGTCCAGTGGCCAGAAAAGTCAGGTCACACCATCAGTCACTGTGGGCTGCAGGAGCCCTAGAGGTGAATATGCATTTCACGTGATACTTAGTATGTAGAACTATATGTTAGTAGAAAATATGATTGAGAACATAAAATATCAACAGCAGGGTTGTCTCTAGGTAATGATATTAAAAAGATTCATTTCTCTTCATCTACTATTTCTTCAATAAACACATTTTATAATCACAAACATAAACTTCAAAATGCTCAGAAAACACTTATTTAAAAAAAAATGACAGTGTTAAAACTGAAAGAGACCTCAGGATGATATAATTCAGTACCACTTCAATTTGTAAATGTTGAAACAGGCCACATAGATAAAGTGGCTTGTCCAGCAAGGGGGTGGCCTCACCAGGAATTTCCTCTTATTCCTGCAATCTCAGCTACACATATTATTGCCTCGTCTGAACTGAGAAACATACCCCTGACCGCAAGTCAGAACCCAAGGTAGTGGATCTTTGAGCGAGCAGTCTAACTGTAAGTTTTGCTCAGGATCTTTAGAACTTGGACATTTGTTAAAATAGTGTCCCCTGTTGACTTGAGACAGAATTCTAAACCCAGGTTTCACTAAATGATCATTTTGCTAAGGGCTTCCACTTACGCCAAACGGTCACCTCTGCCTGATGTTAAAATAACGCCAAGACTAGAGAAGCAAAGGAGGAATGAGGGAATTTCCAGATGTGAAGTCCAGTTTCACTCCACCCTTGTGTCTGTCTGTCCATTCTGGGAGTTTGGGCTTCCTTCTCTATAGTGTTTCCTTTTGATAGATTAACATCATCTCTTAAAAAGAGAATAAAGTCTTTCAGGGTCAGGTGACATCGAGGTTGGGAGGGGCGTGCCATCAGATCGACACTATGGAAGAAAAGGAAAGAAAAGTTAGACGTCTCTCAAGATTTCACTCGAAAACAGGACTTCAAGCTGAAATGAAATACCATCCCTGGCAGGAAAAGGTTCCTACACAGTTTGAAACTGGCTCCCGCTTAATCTGGAGGAAACAAAAGTCTTGAGGAATTTTAGTCAGTTCTGGGCATCAAAACACTCAGAGATAATCTTGGCTCCAAGGCACTTACCGTGTGTAAATTCTCCCTGCGTGGAGCCTCAGAGAAGCTGAAGATAAGATTCAGATAGATGTCTCTGTACTTCATTTCCAGTTTGGTATGTATTTCCTTGTGGGCCTAAAAGACGATGAGGTAAAAGAACATACATCACATGAACGGGAGACTCAAGAGTCAGAAAGTCTCACTGGTTTGTGATGATAGCTTGAACGTCATCCACAACAACAAACAAAAAGGAAAGAAATGAATTTTTAAATATAAGTGAATGTTAAATCCCAAACTCAGAAACAAACAAAAATTAACCACACAAATAACAGATAGGCTAATGTTATTTAAAGTTGACACAAAAATAATCCTGAAGCGTCCGTTCATTTCAAGCTTCCCATGAGTCAGGCATGTCCGAGACAGTGAACATAGGGAAAACATGTCTGAAATAGGTCTTTTCAGGTCTTAGGATTCCATGGTAGGGAAATGGCACAAGCAGACTGGGAACAGACCTGAAGTAGGGAGGAGTGTCTGCCAACTGTGTCTTAGGGAATGGGAATATTTATCTTAGATGAGAATATTCACTGTGGGGGAATAGGGAGGATAATATATAATAATAGTTTTCAAATATTCGAAAGATCTTTGTGAAGTTAGAGAGCTTTGATATAGGACCAAAGGGGTGAATTTACAGGCAGCAGAATTCATTTCAAAACGAGGAGAATCTTCGCAATGATCAGAGCTATCACAAAACCAGAATGCATTGTCATGAGAGGTAGTAAGAGTTTAAGTAGAAGTTAAAGAACATACTAGATGATGGTGAGGGTTTTTCTTTTTTTTTTTTTTGAGAGGTTTTCACTATAGGGCGTGTGTGCTCACCAGACAGAGAGAGACATAGAGACAGAAAGCGAGAAATCACCCCAAGGGGGGATGGTCACGCCGCAATCCCTTCTCCTCCATTCTCCTCTTGGGATCTTAGGCACGCATGCACATGCGCCCGGCGTGAGTTTTAAGCCACCGGGTCTGGGACGTGAACCGCGGTCGACTACGTGGGAGTCCAGCGACATAGCCATTACGCTAACTGCTGGTTCCCGGTGAGGGTTTTTCTTAACATTAATTATATGAATATGCACATTAAAAACTTAACATGGCACCAGCACATGACATAATGTTCCATCACTGGACTTCCACGTGGTTGACCACTATTCGAGTCCCAGACCTGGTGGCTTAAAACTCATGCTGGGCATACACGTGTACATGTGTGCCCAAAATTCTGAGAGGAGAATGAAGAAGGGATTGAGGCATGGTCATCCCCTTGGGGAGTAATTTCTCTCTTTCTGTCTCTCTGTCTCTCTCTGTCTCTCCAGCAAGCACGTGTGCCTGATAGTAAAAATCTCTCTTTAAAAAAGAAAAAAACAAACAAATATTTGGGCTAACAAGTGGTGTGATGGTTAAGATGCTGGATTCTTACATGGCCAGCCACAGTTTGTGTCCTGGGCCTGGTGACTTAAAATCACACTGGGCATGTGTGTGTGCCCCAGATCCCAAAATCCTGAGAAGAGAATGGAGGATAAGGGATTGTGGTGTGGTCATCCCTCTTGGGAGAGTGATTTCTTACTTTCCTTTTCTCAGTCTCTCTCTCTCTGGCAAGCACACTAACCCTATGACAAAAACCTTTAAAAATCATATCATTTAAATTTTCTTTCATTGTTTTCTTTCTTTCTTTCTTTCTCTCTTTTTTTTTTTTTTGCTTTTATACCATCATTTGCAAGAACTTAGCGATATCACTGCTCTTACTCTTTAAAGATAGTTGTGGAGAAAAATTAAGATATTAGAAATACTTAAAAATCACATCAAAATGCCAGCAGTCAAAGCTTACCCTATGTATTCCTTAAGTAACAAGTTTGCTTGCTCTTACACGGTGCTATGAGACCTCTAAAATATTTAGTTACAATTTTCTCAGCGGCCATTTGTTGAACATCTGCCATGTGCTAGGCAGGCCCTGTAAGCATGGCCCAGGATATAGACATGACATAGACACTGTTCCCCAGGACCTAGTTACACCTGGGGTTATAACCCAGATAATACTCAGGGTGTTATGTCCTTAAAGCTAAATGGAACTTCTGTTTTAAACTCTTCTTTGATTTCATGTTTCCCCATTTGTGAGATGCACTGGCATCCTCAGATGAAAGTTGTTCAGGTACACCTTCGTGAATCATCTCTAATATTTTAGTAACTTTTAGGTGTAACTTTTTTATGTATGCCAATTACATTTTAAAAAGAATTAGTAATAGAGCACTTTCACAGGCATGAGAGACACAAATAGAGAGGGAGAAGCATGTTCCACAGGACGTGGTCACACCATGATCCGTTCACTCCAGTCCTCAGCCGGCCAGGATCCTGGGCACACAGGTACCCTCCATGTTTTCAGGCTAACAGAACCAGGGACTTGAAATGCAGCAGGCGTGTGGCTTCCAGCTCCAAGGGCCAGTATGCTACCAGCTGTACCACAGAGGCTGGGCAGTAGTTTATCTTTTTTTTTTTCTTTTTTTGGAGAGGTTTTTGCAATAAGCGCGTGTGCTCACCAGAAAGACAGGGAGAGACAGAGAGATAGAAAGTGAGAAATCACCCCCCAAGGGGGATGGCCACGCCATAATCCCTTCTTCTCCATTCTCTTCTTGGGATTTTGGGCATGCACACACACGTGCCCGGTGTCAGATTTAGCACACGTGCCTGGCGTGAGTTTAAGCTGCCAGGTCCAGGACTCAAACCACAATCGACTGCATGGGAATCCAGCGACATAGCCATTACACTAACTGCTGGTCCCGGTTTATCTTTTTTATTTGTTTTTCATTGCCAGAGGTTGTACATGCTTGCCAGAGAGAGGAGGGAGGGAGAGAGAGAAAGAGAGAGAGAGAGGGAGAAAGCACCCTCACCCTCAATTCCTTTTTCTCCATTTCTCCATCCTGTCAGGATTTTGGATGCATACTCACATGAGCCTCAGCATGTTCTTCAAGCAGCAGGGCTGGTCAGCCATGCGGAATCTGACTCTCCTAATCACTGGACTGTGGGGCTGGCTCTGGGCCAAGTTTCATTACATTCTTTTTAAGTGAAGTCAAAAACAAGTAAGCGTGTATTTGTTTCCAGTTTCTTCCTCTACGCTGCTACCTTTGGATACCTACCTAGCAGGTTTATTTTGAAGATATCTTTTTATCTTATTAGCTGAACTGGTTGAAATTTAAGTTCTGAAGAAATCTCAGGTAATTAGAGACCCTTTGATCTGGAGTATTCCACAGTTAATACATGTGAGCAGATGTTGGCCTGCATTAGGCACTAAGATCAAAAAAGAGTTAAATGGGTGGTTAGCTTTGCAGAAGGCTTTCATGGTGTCCAGCTGGCTCTTTGGACTTCTGCTTAGACATGAAGCAACTGGCAAATTAGTTTCCAGTGTTATTTTCTCCTTGACTCCTTTGCAAGTAGCTGCTTTCTTTCTTTTTTTTTTTTTACAAATTACATCAAGTTATTAAAAAAAAAAAAAGAAAAAGAAAAGAAAAGAAAAAGCAACCTCTAAATTTGCATTCAGTTTGCTAAAACTACCACAATCCCATCTGTGCATGTAGGTTTAGGAGGTGGAGCTGGGGGAGTAGTCTCTGACCAAGCCTGTGTTGCTACTTTTACAGCTGAAATGTAATCTATTTCCACAAAAGAAAAGGCAGATTAATTAATTATGGAGAAGAGCCAGGCTGTTTAGCAAGCTGGCCACATCTTCATCACTGCCTGTTGCTAAGGGTTGGCTGTCTAATGAATCTGTGTTTGAGGATTCAGGTATGATCGTCGCATTCTTGGAACGATTCCTATTCACTCTCCTGAATACCCATCTCCTTAAACAGAGCAGCATCGTGCAGAATATCTGAAAACTATTTCTGAATAATGATCATAACCAATTACTGGTTTTGTTTTCATGACGTGTTTCGGCACTGAAACAGAAGCTTTGCTTGGTTCTACCCTCACTCCACCACCAAAGGTACAATGAAAGGAAGTCAGATGGAGCTCACCAGTGAACCAGTGTTCACAGTCTGTGCCATCCCCTTCCTGCTTCTCTAATGAAGTGCAGGAAGGACCCCTTTTCAAAGTCATATTTGTGTATACTCATGGGAACAGGAATATTAGATGTCTTCAGCAGTTGCTGGGATCCAAGAAGAATCTTTCATCTCCATTGTTCCTGTCCTGGTAATCAAGAGGTCGGCTGAAATATTCATGCCACATGGTGTTAGAGGAGCTCCTCCTGATATTGCCCCTGCCTGATAACACTGGGAAGTGCACCTGTACAGTCCTCTGACCCTGGCCCTTGTAGAAGACAGACCTGCGATTTCACTCACAGCAGCAGGAACTCAAATGGCTGGGGTCAGTGGTCCTTGGCAGCACCGAGCCGTTTTGTAA